TTGCTGGGTCATAGGGAAGCTCCATGTTTAGCAGTTTGAGGAACCTCCAAACAGTTTTCCATAGTGGTTGTACTAGTCTGCATTCCCACCAGCAATGCAGGAGAGTTCCTTTTTCACCCCAAGGAACTCTTATACATTTCCCCTTTTAAAATATTTTCCTCCCAAGCCTTCCCTGGTGGTACAACAGGTTAAAGCATAGCACTGTGAAGCTAGCTGCAGCTGCTTCATTGGGAGTTCAATCCACTGCCCCGGATGTGACCCACATGGCACAGCAGACCTCTCCTCTCAGCAGTGTACTTCATGTTCGTGGATCTGCCTGTTCTGCTTCCCACTTTGTCTCTTGTGAATCCTCTCACTGCCCCTGCACCTCTGGCCTAGATTCCAGATCTGTATGCATAATAAATCTTTAAAAAAATATTTCCCTCCATGTTGTTCTAGCTATCTGTTCTCCAACAATGTGCTTCTGAGTTTATTAATTCCCATTACTTGAGTTTGTCTCAGTTGTATATTTTAGTCCAGTTATAGTATTTCTTAGCTCTGTTACATTTATTTGTAACTACCTCATATCTTCTTGGTCTTCATTCTGTTTCTGTGTTATAGATCCCCCCCTTTTAAAAAAAAAAAAAAGATTGATTTATTTATGCATACAGAACTGGAGTACAGGCAAGAGGTGCAGGGGCAGTGAGAAGATTCACCAGAGACAGAGTGGGGAGCAGAACAGGCCGGCTGACAAATAACACTGCTGAGGGGAGCAGCAGGCTGGTCAGGAGAAGTCTGCTGCGCCATGTGGATCATCTCTGGGGTGGGGATCGAACTCATGCTGAAGTAGCTTTAGCTTCTTATTGCTGTGCTTTAACCCCCTGTGCCACCAGGGAGAGCCCCCATAAACATTTCATTGTTACCTTGAACTCTTTTCATTCATATACTGTAGTTCTGCTAGAATGACTCTTCTCAGGATTTTTTTTGCTCCAGCATTTGTGGTATAGTCTTTTATTTTTTTTTTTATTAGGTGTAATGAGATAGATATTTTAATTTCTGCCTCTCTGTCTGCTGAAGTGATTCAAGAACAGCAGGAAGGAGTAACAGATAGAAGGGAACTGGAACAGTAAGGCACCAAGGGATCACCTCCAGTAAGCATCACAGATTCAAACACCCTCTTGTTCTGCAGTTGTGGGAGCTGTATGGTAGACTGTCAGTGTGATCCCCTTCTGTATATTAGCTCCTCCTTCAAAGTGTCTCTGATGGTCATGCCAGCTTCCACTTTTAGGCACTGAGTGTAGATTGTAGCTGAGAAGGGGCCATAGACTTGGAGGTGTTCTCTTTTTTTTCCAATACAAAGCCATATCTGGGGTGTTTGCTCCTACTGCTAATAGGTGCTAAAACCTTGGCTTCTGCAATGTTCATTTGTTGTCTTGGTTTTAGCTGAGGGGATAGGAGTGGCACATTTTTCAAATATCCCAACATTGGACCTCCCTGGTGGCCTAAAGATTAAGTCTCAGCGTTTTTTTCATTATGAAGACTCACAGTTGACCTGAGTTTGATCCCCAGCTAAGGAGCTGACCCACATAGCACAGCAGACCTTTCTCACCCACTGGTCCTCTTAGCAGTGTATTTCAGTAAATGTGCTGTTCTGCTCCCCACTCTGTCTCACCACCCCCACACCTCTAGCCTGCACCCATGTTCTATGCAAAAATAAATAAAATCTTTTAAAAAACCCTCAAATATCCCAACCTTAATTTCAAGTAAAGCCTGTTCTATGAGGAGACACAGGTGATATGACCCATTTCTCCTTATTGTTTAAGGCTACAGCTCTTCTATACTGAGAGAATCAGTTTTAAGGCTATAATCCTTGCTCTGTACCCAATCCCACTTTTTTGTTTTTTGGTTTTTTTTGTTTTTTTTTTTAACAGAAAGGCACAAGCTACTACCTACTTGGGATTGCTCTCCTGTTCCTCTCATTTAAACTCCTCTTTCTCTGTAAGTATACCCCACACTTACCTCTTCCTCGGAATAAATTCCTGGTCTGGAAAACATTTCCTCACTCCAGATGGCTTCTCACCTTCCTTTACATACTAATCTAACTGACATCTCCCTAGATGTATCTTCTTCAAATAGTCTACTGAAATTTACCTGCTGGTGCCTCTTCCCTGGGCATTCTTTAGCTCAATCCCTCTTAACTTCCTAATTGCACTTAGCACAATCAATAATTACTTTTAATTGAAATGTTTAGTGAATAAGGTTGGTCTTTCTGGATGGATTGTAAACACCAGGGGGTTTACACCTTTGTTATTTCTTTTTCCTTTGTCATTACTATTCCCCAGGTCTAAAAATAGGACAGGTGCTTAGTAAGTAGTTGCTGGATGATGAGTGAAATGAACACTGGCAGTAAGAAATTAGTTGAAGGCAGAGACTGCCTCTCTGTGGCCATTCTGGAGAATTGCAGCTCCCCAGTAAGACCCAGACAAAGAAGTCAAGTCACTATCCAGAAGCCACCTGATAATGTCCCTTATACCATCTTCTTTGTCTGGGAAGCTAGAGGGTCTAGCAGGTGCTCTACAAATGACAATGCTGCTGCTTAGCAGGATGTGTACCATGTTCTCAGAGACTGTGATCCAGGACATAAGGGAACAGCAAGGCCTGTACTTGCCCTAGGATCTCATGCCTGGCATCAGGCCCAGGGTCCACGTAGCCCAAGGCCATAGGATAACAGAAAGGCACCTCTCTAAAACATGATCTTAGTACATGAATTTAACTTTTAAATATCTTCAAATTGTAACAAATCAAAGTATTATGCAGGGTGCACAGGATTTATAAAAAAAGAAAAACTTCAAGGTTTTTTGGTTTCTGAAAGGCCCCACTCTCCAGGAAGTCTTATCAGCAGGCTTATTTAAGGCTTCTGAGCCTCTCTCAGCACCCCTTCTGCTTAACATCTTAGGACTTGTCCCAGCTCATTTAGCTGTGCACAGACTAGGGGAAGGCTTTGTCTCATTTGAACTGCAATTAAAAGCAAGGACCTACGTCTCCCCATGGGAAAGAAATTCTGGGGAGTGAGGTCTAGACACTTGAAGAGGCTCTCCTCAGGAAGTTGGCTGACCCTCATAACACCTCCCAGTACTCAGTGCAGGGAGTACTTGGGGGGACACCCTACCAAAAGAAAGTGGGCTGAAAAAGGCCCTTCTTGAAGGGTTCCTTACCTCCCTCTTGAGTGGAGCCACATAGGCCCAGGAGTTGGTGGCAGGGTCATAGCGCTCCACAGCATTCAGGTCATTGTGGTAGTCCCGGCCTGCCACTGCATAGATGTATCCGCCCACGACACACACACAGAGGTCGGCGTGTTCCTGCTGCAGGGACTGGATCTGGAACCAGCGGTTGTGCCGTGGGTCATACCTTTCAAGAGGACACAAGGACAGCAAATCACTGAGAGGTGAGAGGGCCTGCCCAACAGGCCCGACTCTTGCTGTATCTGCCCCCACTCACCAGCACGTGCTCACCCAACACTCCGGAAGGGATGGCCGGGATCCTCTGGGGTTTCTGTCTACAACTTTGGGCCCTTGCAGGTATAACCCCTCAGGTGGTTTCTAGCCTGCCTAGCTGTCCACAACCAGGCTGCCCCACTGCTGTGGCCACAGCCATTGCCTTCTCATCTGTTTCACCTTATGGTCCCATTGACTCTTCCCCATTCAGAAAAACCATACTATGGGAGTCTTGCTGAGTTAAGCCCTGGAAGGGTGGCGCAGGTAAGGAAGGAAAGTCACTCTCCTGACAGAGTTACCTTCCTGCACTTTTCACTTCAGATACAGCTATCTGTAAGCCACAGACCTGCCTTCTCCTTCCTCCCCAAGTGCCAGCTTCACCTTGCACTCCTACTCAATTGTCCCACTCATGCTGCCCAGACCACTTAACATTCTCACTTAACATTTTTCTCCTGCACTTTAGACTCATTGCACATACACCTGCCAGTCACCTCCAGCTGGTTGCTCACCTATCCTGAATGGAACTCCAAGTTCCCTCTTTCCATCTGGTCTCATCCTTATCCCTGATCATACACCAGAATCTTAAAGCCTTAACTAACACCTAAGGCCTTTTGCAGCCCAAGTCCACATCCACCTTTCTAGCATTCAGACATCCCCCAGGTCTCCCCCCACTTCCAAAGGAGGGACACTCCCTGCCCCTTCGCCCTCTCTCCATGCCCCAGGACTGGTAATGTGCTGGGCCCATAGGAGGTGCACAGGCAGGTATGCTATTTGGGTGAATACATGAGATGGACCAGACCCCTGGGAGCTGGAAGCTCTTAAGTCCACTTTTCCTTGACCTGTGGAACCCTTTCCCCTCAGCATCCAACCAGGTAGCAGTATTGGCACTCCTGATTCTGAAGTCTCCTTGCTCAATAGTCCACGCACAGTTATAACCTCAGATAACTGCTTTTATTTCTCCACAGTAAGTGCAACACCAATGAAAGAGAACAAGTGAAATTTCAACTGGCTAGAAAATGAACAAATTCTCTTGGCCTAGGTTGTATGCTGGTTGAAGAAACTGGTTTTACCCCGTGCCCCAAAGCACAATTAGAGATTCTTTAACTGCTTCTTCTATCATCTGTCCAGCCCCCTCCATGCCAACAAGAAGTGACAAGAAACAGGGTGCCTCAGGAGTTGGGGTCAAAAGGAAGAAAGGAGAGAACCCAGGTGTGAACCCCAGCTCTAGCTTCCATCTAGCTGGGGTAACACTAGTAAGTTTTACACATTATTCACTCAGTTTCTGCACTGACTGGCAGTGATATCACCTGCCTAGATAAGCTATCATGAGGGACTATAAGCGACAAGCTCCTTGTTAACTTGAAGGGCATTCATAAAAAATGAGGTCAGGGCCCTCCCTGGTGGTTCAACAGTTTGAAGCGCAGCAACATGAAGCTTGCCACAGCTGCTTCACTGTGGGTTTGATCCCTGGCCAAGGAGGTGACCCACACGGGGTGACAGAACTCTCCTGGCCTGTTCACTGCTCCCCTCAGCGGTGTACTTCATCAATCTGCCTTTTCTGCTCCCCGCTCTGCCTCTGGTGAATCCTCTCACCACTCCAGCACCTCTGGCCTGTACCCCAGTTCTGTATACATAATTAAATAAAATCTTTGGGGGAAAAAAGGTTAATTTCCACATTCCTAGACCTCAGAATAACTCCTGGCTCAGGATAGATCACACTGCCTACTAAATGAATTAAACATAGGAGTAAAAGTACTAGCAGTGAGATAACTCATTCATCCTGTTCATCCACTGGCCACCCAACATGGATTAGGGTAGGCACAGTGCTCAGTACTGGGAACTGAGAGGCCCTGCTTTCCACTGTAGAACAGGAAAAATGGCTAAAGAGAGCAGAGTACATATTCAAGTATTCAACATATGACAGGTAACAGGAAGGGGAAAAGGAGAGTATGATCTACCCAGCATTGGGGGCTGGGAGGGCAGAGCTCTCTTATGGAAACCAGGCAGTGCCTCCTGAGAAACAGGGAGACCTGAGTAGCTGTGGCGCTTACCAGGCAACAGGTCTGGGCAGAGACAAGCAGAACAGCCCCCAAGCACCTCACTCACAAAAGCCCTATCAACTAGCTTAGAGGGTACCACTGCCTTTCCCAAGCAAGATGCTTGTTTTCAGTCAAGAGAAATTAGCATCTTCCACCAGAGTGAGACAAGACCCTCCAGAGAGTTCAACTTCTTTCCCTCTGGTCTCCCGCCATCACAGCTTCTCAGGCTGAGTTCATTTGGATTTGTGGTTTCAGAGTTAAGGAAACAAACACACACATACATACACATCTATATAGACAGCACACATTAAAATTCAGACATAACCACAGGTTCACTGATCTCTTATCTCCCCTCTATATCCTATATCCCACATTTTCCTCTTTAATTTTTCACTTTGTCAGAATAAATTCTCAAGTTTTTTTCCTAATAAGTTTTATTATAACACACAAGGATATAAACAGTTTTTGCCACTTTTATGCAGTTTTGGATTGTGCTATTGCAAACTCAGAAGTCTAAAGTTGGAACAAAATGTTCTAGGATCCTTGTTAAATTTAGTAAACTGGGGCCTCCCTTGTGGCACAACACGTTAAAGCTCAGCACCATGGAAGTTAGCCTAGCCCCAAGCATTTTAGCAGGAGCTTGATCCCTGGCCATGGGGGTGACCCACATGGCGCAGTAGACCTCTCCTGTCTCGCCCACTGCTCCCCTCAGCAGAATACTTTGTAAATCTGCCTATTCTGCTCCCAATTCTGTCTCTGGTAAATCCTGTAACTGCCCCTGCACCTCTGGCCTGTACCCAGTTCTGTATGCATAAATAAATATATCCTTTTTTTTTTTTAAAGATTTATTTATATTATGCTTACAGAACTGGGTACAGGCCAGAGGTGTGCGAGGTGAGAGGATTCACCAGAGACAGAGTGGGGAGCAGAACAGCAGATCTACTGAAGTACACTGCTGAAGGGAGCAGCAGGTAGGTCAGAAGAAGTCTGCCACACCATGTGGGTCAGCTCCCCAGCCAAAAATAAAACTCGTAACTGCAGTGGCTTCGAAGAGCTTCATAATGTGGTGCTTTGACCTGCTATGCCACCAGGGAGAACTCCAAATAAATATACCTAAAAAAAAATTTAGTACACTGTTTTTCTTCTATATTTCTAGGATTTAAGCAGTCTCCTGACTAGTACTTTTAAAATCCCCTAGAATTAAAACAATTTTTGAAATACACTTTAAGATGTTAAGTCATAGAAACGTCTGAGTTGTTACTCTAAGTTGGGTCAGGGCACAAGACAATATGGGGCCATCTACTAACAGGTAAGGGCAGTCCGTATACTGGAGCACACAGGATGATACTATAGAAAAGGGGCAATGGGGCAATCGAGACCCCCATCAAAAAAAGAGAAGAGAAACTGCGGTATCTTGGCAAAAACAACTTCATATGCAGTTTATGTGCTGACGCTTTACAATAGACCCTGGTAAGTCCCTAACTCCCCACCAAAAGACAAGCCCTAATTTACTACAAAATCTTGTTTTCTAATTTTGAGAGTCTACAGAGCTATGAGATGGGAAAGAGGAGAAAGAAACATGACTATTAAACCATTCAAATGAAAATCCAAGAGAATGTAGAGATGACAGACTATAGAGTCCTCCCAATCATATTCTCCACACTGCGTGGCCTGGCCTTTCAGTGGGTGCTTATTTCTGCCAGGCAGCTGTCACCAACCCTACCAACCACAGTTTAAGGATGTGGTTATTGACCAGAGGGTTGACATGAACATTTCCCAATTTAGCTTTAGCCTCACAGCCCATGCTCACAAAAAAGGAAATTTAGACCAGTCTTGAGTGGAACTGACTTCCATGGCACATAGCTGGACAGAATGCAAGGGCACACACCTGCCCCCAGCTGTCACTCCAGAGACTGCCCACGATGTGCTGAGGAGACAACACTCTCTGGAGGAGTTTATTAACAGACCTATGGGGTGCTGTCAGCTTTGACCTCAAACTAAGATCCCTAAAAAAGCAGCTTTGATGACCTCTCTTGGTAGCACAGGAATTAAAAGACAAGCTGTCACAGACACTGCAGCACAAGTTTGGTCCCTGGTCAGGGTATGCTGGAAGACTTCGCCTGTCTTGCCCACTGTTCCCCTCAACGGTATATTTCAGTAGATCCTCCTATTCTGCTCCCCATTCTGTCTGATAAATTCTCTTCCCTCCCACAACTCTGGCTTAGAGTCTAGTTCTGGTGTGCTTTAATAAATAGTTCTTCAGGGGCTCTCCCTGGTGGTGATATGGGTTAAAATGCAGCACTGTGAAGCTACCCTCAGCCACTGTGGCATGAGTGCAATCCCCCACCAAGGAGGGGACCCACATGGCGTGGCAGACTTCTCCTGTTTTGCCCACTGCTCCCCTCAGCCGTGTATTTCATTACATCTGCCTGTTCTGCTCCCCACTTTCACCCCACACAAACACCTCTGGCTATCCCAATTCTCATACACATAAGTGAAAAAATCCTAAAAAAAAAGTTTAAAAAAAAATAAATCTTTTTTAAAAAGTAGCTTTGATTTACCATAGGTAAGACATGGAATCAACCAAATGCCCAAAAGTAGATAACTGGATTAAAAAGATATGGTACATATACACAATGGAATATTACTCAACAATCAAAAAAATAAACTCATGCCTTTTGCAGCAGCATGGATGGAGCTGGAAGGGATCATGCTTAGTGAAATAAGCCAAAAAGAAAAAGAAAAATATGGGATGGTTTCACTCATCGCAGGAGCATAAGGGACCAGGGGGTAAAATAAATAATAATGATGAACAACTATATACCAGAGACATTTTACGGGGGTGGAGTGGGGAATGGGATCAAAAATGTGGGGGGGGTGGGGAAGTGCACTGGACTATGATGATTGCAGATGGGTGTTCTGGTGATGGGAAGTCCACTGGGATTACAACTGAGATGGAAAAAGGCACAAAATGATGTAAAAACAAACTATTATATTAAAATAATAAAACAAAAAAGGAGCTTTGAGATTTGGCCACAAGGAAGTCCAAACTGGTGCTGCCATACCCACAAAGGATACCCACAAATTTTCGGTTAGGGACCAAATTAAGGTATGTTTTCCTCTTTTCTAAGTTGTCTGTCCTCACATTTACAACACGCAACTGGGTCTCACTCCAGGTTTACAAAGATGATCACTTCCTGGAACAAGAGGGTGGAGGCAGCTAAACAACGGCCACCTCTTCCTCAAGAGGTCCACTTGCTTCCAGGGACCCTAAGGTCAACCACACCCTAGAAGATGGAGCCATGAACATGAAAATGGGTAGTGCCAAGTCACAGCTTCTAGCAGCAGTTGGCAGGACTGTCCTTCAGCTCTTGGGGGGGCAGACTATCCCCCCTAAATCCCAAGAAATCAGACCAAGGTGCAGCAGAGGAGACCCTGGGATTCACCCAATTTCTCTTACTCTACCTAAAGAAATGGATTTATGAGCCAAAGATCCCAGAAGTATCCTACAGATCACAGCAATCCCTCTTGGAAATCTGCCTCCTCCAGGGATCTTGTGCCCATTATATCAACAGGGCTGGATAAGTGAGCAGACATTTGCTCACTTATGAGACTCAGTGACATCTGTCACGCTTTTGCTCTCCTGAAGACTAAGGGCTGTGTGCGCAGTGGGAGCAGCAGCAACAAGGAGCCATCACTCACCATACACTTATTATGATCAGGAGAGCAGAGTGAAACAGACATGCAAAGGGAAGATGAGCTGTGGGGGAGGCAGGAGAGACTGCCCTGTCCAACCTCCCAGTGCCTAGGTTTCCTCCTTCGAGGCACAACTGTCCCTGCTTCAAGGCCCCCTCTCCCGAGTTTAGTCAAGTGCAGTAAAAATCCAGGCCCTCACCCACAAGAAGCAGGGTGTGATCCAGGGTGATGGATTTCTAAGAAGAGAAGTATGCCAGGCTCCCTTTCCCTAGTGGCACTGCTATTTGCATTCTCTGATAACTAGGACTTTGTTCCACAAAACAGATGTACCCCAATAAGTCACAAGATTAATTTACCAGGCTGACCACCTTGGCCCTTGCAGAACTCACTCCCCTAACCAGCCCTCTGAGCTGACTCCTGCACCACAGGGCCACCACAGACCAAGGGTCCTTTCCTACCTCCAGCATCGGGACTCAGCACGAAAGCCCTGGACGTTGTTGTCCCCTCCGATTAGGTACACAAAGTTGTTGAGTACTGCAATGCCCTGGTTGGACATTCGGGGGGCCAGGGAAGCAGTGAAGTGTTTCCATTCTCCCAGCAGGGGGTTCAGGTACTTGGCCTGGTCACTGAGGACAGTGGATGGTGTGGAGTGAATGCCCCCAAAGCCCACGACGCACTGGAAGTCTGACCGCAGCTCTGTCTGTGGGCCCTGCAGACTAGGCTGCAGGCTCTCATTCCGGTGATACATGAGAGCACTGGCCACTGTGTCCCTCAGTGGGCTGGGCTCTAGCTTGTCATGCAGCTGCTGGAGGACCTCAACTTCCATGAGGGGAAATCGCACTGTCTCAAGGAGCTTGGGTGGCTCATGCAGCGAGATCTGGTCAGCCTGTACCTGCTCCAGGGTGTAATGGTAGAGCAGTGCACCCTCATACACCTCAGTCTCACAGGAGACCTCCAGGCGGTTGCTGCTGAGAAGGGAGTAGACCTTCTCCAAGGGAAGTTGGCGGTACTTGTCAGTCCTAGAGAAGGCCACAAAGTTTTTGAGGATGTAGGTGTCTAGCTGCTCAGTCAGGCGGCTCAGGTCAAACAGCTCTGCCAGCCGGTAGACGTCAAGGATGTTCTCCTCATCCACCCAGGACATGAGGAAGTCACAGCAGAAATGGATGATTTCTGGGATCTGTGAAGACAAAATGACCCATTCAAACCCAAGCTGGGGACAGCGTCTGGGTATGGGAGATAGAGAATGCCACTGGACTCATGGTTTATGTGGCTATCCACTGCAGCTGGCCCCCCTCAGTTGTCCCCGAACATTCCTGGCACAGAGATCTGGCACAGCATCTCCCCCAACACACTGAAGATTAGGAAGGCTCACTACAGACTATGTAGGCTTATATCCCAGCTTGGTGATTTGTAGCCTGTATCCTCATCTATAAACCACGGATAAAGTGGAGAGGAATAGGCTGAAACAGGAACTATCCAGCACAGAGCAACCCCCTGATATGTTAGTCACCTTTCAAATAAAAAATCTTGGACCTCTAGAGAAGCAGGACACAGCATAAATGGCCATTATTTTAGTTATTACTGGTTTGGAAGATACCTGGAACTCCTCCCCTCCTTCCTGATCCTCTAGAAGACAGCCCTTCCTCCTGTCACACTGGAGGACAATCAAAGTTGTGGGCCCAAGGAACTCACTTCTTCCTCAGGAGCAAGGGCTGAGACTGCCCTGCCCTATGAACTGTGAATAAAACATCCCTGGATGCTCATCCAGCACCCATCCTGGGACTATGATTCAGAGTCCTTGAAAAGTAGGCAAACTGTCCTGCTTGAGCAGAAACCTGCTCAATTCCAGTTAGTGTGGAGGCCCCCAGGCAGCCTACTTTCTCTTTGCTAATCATGCAGAATAACAGGTCAGATGGAAGGAAGCATAAGACAGAATAGCACTTAGGTGGGAGCTAAGAACTAGGTCACATAGGTCTCTAGGACACTCTTGGTTAGGGTGCGGCAGAATAAAGGAGGCAGAAGGACTCAGGGAAAGCTGCCTAGATAGTGCTAAATCCTTTAGGAGACCAGAATTTTAGGATTTCTCTAAAAAGTGAGGAATACCTCACTTATTCAACATCATCATCAAATTATATATAAGGAATTTTGCCGGAATCTGTCACCTTATTAATAAACATGTAAACTCTTTTTATTTCTGCTTCAAGAAGTTTAGTTCTTGTTAAGTGATGTGCTAATACTAAGGAGACAAGTCAAGTGTCAGCCCAGTGTTTCTCCCACATGGGATGGTCCCATAGTGCTTTGTTAGGTCCTGAATATCTTTATTTGTTCATCCATATTCTTCCTCAGCAGACATTTCTTCTTTACTCTTTTTTCTAAACACTAATTCTGATTTGTCCTGGGTCAGGACAATGGAGACCAAATTCTGGGTATGAACCTAATGCTCACATAGCCCTAGGTGGGCCTAAGAAGCAGTTCCATAAGAACCCGCTTGTCCCATCCTCATGAGCAGGGTAGTGTGCTCTCTGCCAGGTGGTTTATCACAGAGAGATCACCCCGGAAATGCCTTCAGGAGTCCATTGAAAAGTTCAAAGAAGGGGGCTCATTTGTTGGGGGTGATCCAGTGGGGATGGTATCAATGGAGTTCAGACCATGAAGCACATGCAGAGCAAGCACAATTGTGATCTTAGTGGGCCTACAAACCTAGGAGTTATGATAAGTAAAATTTGATTCAAAAACAACAGTGCATACAGGACCAATACATTAAAAACAAAACAAAACAGACCCTGGCTGCTCAAGGTAAAGTGGGGGCTCCCACTCTTAGGCTGCCACAGTGATGGCACTGGGCACTATGACATTAAGGAGCACAGGCCAAGCCTTGCTAGGAGTGACAGCAGACTGCAGGTGGGGGGAGGAAGGTGGTATTTGGGAAGATGTTTTAGGTGGTATTTGGGAAGATGTTTTGATGTTGGTGTGTGTGATGGATGCAGAGGAGAAGGAGAAGGGGTCAGCTGAGGAGAAGAATAGAGAGAGGACAAAGGTGAAAGGACAAAGAACTGAGAGAGCTACAGGAAATATTTCACAGCCCACAGTCTACACTTGCAAACAGGGAACAAAGGTGGAAAGACTGAACAAGACACAGGTGTGGCACCTCGGGTGCTGGCAGAATGGTCGGTCATGGGACAAAGCTCAGTGGGAGGGAAAGAGGCAGGAGGAGTAGATACACTGAGCTTTCTGTTTGGATAGGATCTGGGGAGTTGAATACAGGACATGAAGTGTTACAAGTTCAGGGAACTAAATGGGGTTCCCAAAGCAACAATGAGAAAGACTCAAGGACCAAAGAGTTCTCTGAGTAAAAGAAAATCAACCCTCTTTCCCATCTTGCAAAATGGCAGGTGAAAGAACTGAATAAGAAGAAACCTGAAGACTGATGCTGGTGGGAAGGTGAAGAAGGGTACTCCTAAGCCAAACAACACCTGTGGGGAAGCCCCATTGCAGCCAAAACTTTGTCTTAGAAGAATTGGCAGCCATTCCTCACCTGCTATGTTTTTCAGAGATTCCACATACAGGTGGAAGTATTCAGCAATTAAGTCCAGAATTCAAAGGAAAAGGTTTTTGCTACTGTCACAAAACTAAATGACAGTACCTAGAGTGGTATAACTTTGCAAAATGCCTACTGTCCTACTGAGGTGTGCCTCAAAAGCTGTTGAGTCATAGCAAAAGACCCTTCAGCTGGCATGTGAGAAGGCTGCAGGCTAATCTCACTCCTGGCAATGATCAGCCTTACTGGGTGACACAGAGCAGCCAAGCAGTGTTTTGCTACCTGTAAACAGACCTCTGTCCATCAATTGAATTCCCCTGTGTAGGACATACCAGAATTCTGTCATTACCACTTCTACCAAAACCAATACCAGTAGTGTGAAAATATCAAAATATCTCACTGATTCTTACAAGCGCAGCAGCTGTGTAAGCCCCAACACCAGAAAGGGGAGATCTGTGACACAGTAGGAGAAACCCAAGATTACCAAGCAGGGTACGGTAGATCAGAAAGCTGTGGACTCGCAAGTTCTGCCAAAAGCAAAGAGTTCCTCAGCTCCAGGGCTACCTGTGCTCTGTATCTGCACTCACAAATGCCATTAACTCATAAACTGGTATTCTAAATTTCTTACAATAAGCCTAGTAAGTGGTCCACAAGCAAAACAAAACTGATCATTCCGGCTAAACTCTACCCATCACACAAGCATGGCAAGCCATGCTCAAAGCAACCCAAAGCTCACAAAGCACCACCCAATTGCACACTGAGAGGAACAGGGCACCACAAGGATAGTACCCACAGACACCCCTGAACAGCTTAGTTTTCCTAAAACTTCATTTTTCCAGATTGCCTCAAAAATGCTCTGACCCCAGAAAAGGTCCGGATAATGAACTCAGCCTAACATTTTGTTTCATTTTTAAGAAATATGAGCACAGATATCTCTCAATTCCATCCCAGGATTCTAAATGACAGCTTCTAAGAGTAAAGATTTGTGCTGACCCAGCCCTGGTAACAACAGACACCATCAAGTTAACAGAACCTTCTAAAATATACATATGTGAAAGACTCAGTAAACTATTTGAATTCTGTAAGAAACATGTACTAAAAACTGAGTGGCAAAAAGAAAGTAGTTTTAGAAGTCAATGAAGTAAATTGTAGAGGACAGGCAGGCTGAAAGGAGCTAATGGCCATGTTGGAAAAACTCACACTAGATGCCCAGCCCAGGGTGCTTGTCTCCCTGATCTTTTCAGGGGCTTAGAGACCCAGCAGTAGGAAAGGAGTGAGCAGAATAGCAGAGAGCAAAGGCAGAGGAGTGACCTGGGTCAGAAGACCATCAGAGCAGCTCCAATTTGGTGCCCAGGGATGGCTTTACCCCACTCCAGCCCCTGCCTGCCCAATGCATCCCCCTGCCGTTACCCAGCAGGGATCTAGAGAAAACCTGGTCTGCCTTGATCAAACAGGGAATACTCACCTGAAGCTGGCAGGCAGCTACCAGTGTCTCCTGGACATTGCTCAAGCTGAGCTCTAGTTCAGAGGTGTATATGAAATGCAGGATTTGGCACATGGCATTGTAGGATACACCGTGGATCAGGACTTCCTCCTGCTCCATCTCCTTCAATCCCCCAGCAAACATTCCTCTGCAAAGCAAAGATAAAACAATGGAGTTCTACCAACTGGGACACCAGCCCAGGCTGACAGGAGAACATCCTGATGTGGCAAGTGGTGGGCCCTACCACTGAGTCATACTACAGAAGTCACCTGAAGCTCTTGGCCAAGTTTGGGCAGTCATCCTAGAAATCACCCTGTTCTATTTCAGATGGATAACCACCATTCTTCTTTCTTACTCAGCAGCCTCTTGAGATGGGGACCATGTTTAGCTGGCTCTCTGATATACATACTACTCGTCCTACTGAATAACAGCATCAGCCTGGAGCATGTTAGAAATGAATAAAGAGTAATAAAACCATAAAAGCCATTCTATTCAACATATACTTACTTAGTACCCGCTAAGTACCATTTGAAGAACAGGAGTGACAGTGAAGCCAAGTGACATGGCTGCTATGTATACTGTGTGTAATGCTAAAGAAGGCAACAATAAAGAAAGGTATTTCAGATTGAAATAGGGCACATCTGGATTACATCTGAGTGCTTATTATTTCACCCAGTAAAATAATAATATCCCATGACATTTTGCTCATGTCATCCCAGAATTAATTTCCATGAAAGCAAGGACCTTGTTTTCTTATTGTCATCCTCCTTGGCATTATATAGGGCATACATAGCAGTCTTGTCACTGCTTCACTGCTACTCCTTGGGCTCTTTCAATGGTACTTGGTGGGCACTCAGTAAATATATGTTGAATAGAATGGCTTTTATGACTGTTATTTTTATTCATTATATACATTAATACCTTGATAAAGTATTGACCAAAGTTCAAGTGTCACCATTCCCAAGAGGGGTCAAGAGGCTGGTATAACTGAAATGTTACTAGGTCCAACTACCATGGAAATAGGGAGAAACCTTAAGCCAACAGAAAAGCCTGTCAAATGTCAAAGTCCATTTCTATACTCCTTTCTGAACTATCCAGAATTTTTCCCATTTACTGTTAGAACTACATGGTACTGTCAATTTGAAGAAATCTGCCCTTTTAAAAAATGAGTTCAATTTCTTTTAGTGATCTCAAATTGTTGGATTTTTTTTAAAGATTTATTTATTTATGCATACAGAATTGGGGTACAGGCCAGAGGTACAGGGGTGGGGAGAGGATTCACCAGAGACAGAATGGGGAGCAGAAAGGATGACTGACAAAGTACACTGCTGAGGGGAACAGCGGGCAGGTCAGAAGAGATGTGCCATGCCATGTGGGTCACCTCCAGGGCGGGGGGTCAAACTCATGCTGAAGTAGCTTTAGCTTCCTCAGTGCTATATTTTAACCCACTGAAACACCAGGGAAGGCCTGAATTGTTGGATCTTATGATACTTTCTGCCATGAAGAAGTTTATCTGTTTTGCATGAGAATTTATTTTCTTTTTAGAGATTTATTTATATATGCATACAAGAGCTGGGGTGTAGGCCAGAAGGAGGAATGCAGTGAGAAGATTCACCAAAGAGAAAATGCGGAGCAGAAGAGGTAGACTGTCTGAAATATACTGCTGAGAAGAGCAACAAGCAAGACAGAAGAGGTCTGCTATGCCATGTGGGCCAGCTCCCTGGTCTGGAATCAAGCTCATGCTGCAGTGGCTTTGACAGCTTGATAATGCTTAGACTTAACCCCTTGCACCACCAGGGAGGCCCCTTCTTATTTCCTTTTCTTTTAATATTTATTTTTTTATGTATATAAGAACTGGGCTACAGGCCAGAGGTGCAGTGGTTACAGGATCTATTAAGACAGAGTGGAGCATAATAGGCAGATCTACTGAAATACAATGCTGAGGGTGTTAAGGGGAAGGATGTCCTAAAGGAACTCTGCAGAGTGTTGTGGACTCCATCCTCTACTCTGGCTTTCTGGACTCTACCCCCTACTCATGATAGAAAACTACAACTTCCAGCAGTACCAGGGAAAGAACTGTAAGGACCCAAGGGCGGAGCTAAGCAGGAATTCTGGGACACTGGGGGATAAATAGGGTGCCATTGCGTCTCTCACTTGGAAACGGCTCTCCAGACAGCATGACTTGGGGCTTTCAGTTAGTTTGCTATCAGAGCTCCAAGTCAGCCCAGCCCAGATATTCCAGTTGTTTCTTTTCTTTTCCCTTTTTGTAAATAAACCCATTTTGACCCTTTTGTGTGTGCCTGCAGTACAACTGAATTTTAAGGTGTGGATGAGGCCCCATCGACAGGCGGCCCAGTTCACACTGGGGTGCCCTGTAACAAGGGGAGCAGTGGGTGAGACAGGAAAGGTCTGCTACACTATGTGGGTCACCTCCCTGCCTGAAGATCAAAATTGTGCTGTAGTGGCTGCAGAAAGCTTCATAATGCTTTAACCTGCTGTGCCACTAAGCTGGGGAGAGAGGGGGCTTATATTCTTCTTTGCCTATGAGTTGTGTCAAACTTAGAAAGGTTTTCTCCTTCTGAGTGTATCAAAAAATATTTGCCCATGTTTTCCTCTTTTTGCCCTTCATGTACTCTTTCACATTTAAATTGTTCATCCAGGCAGCTCTCCTGCCTGCCTGTGATTATCCAGGTGCCTCTTTTTCTCTTTTCCTAATAAACATGACCTTTTAGGCCCTCTCTGGTGGTGCAAAGGGTTAAAGCACAGCACTAAGAATTGAAAGCCACTTCTGCATGAGTTCAATCCCCACCTGCCCTGGAGGTGACCACATGGTGTGGCAGGCCTCTCCTGACCCACCAGCTGCTCCCCTCAGCAGTGTACTTTGTTGATCTGCCTGTTCTGCTCCCCACTCTGTCTCTGGTGAATCCTCTCACTGCCCCTGTGCATCTGGCCTGTACCCCAGTTCTGTATGCACAAATAAATAAATCTTTAAAAAAAAGTCCTTTTAAAATGTAAATAAATAAAACACAAAATGAAATTGGTGACCCACCTACATTAATTTTGGTACAAGGTAAGAAAGGTTTCAATTTTGTTTTCCTAAATGGTCACCCAGTTGTGACGTCCCCTGACTTGTGACACTGTCTTTATTACACACAAAAATCCTTAAAGACCTGTTTAAGGTCTTGGTGCTACAATGGATTAAAGTGTAGCACTATGAAGCTATCTGCAGCCACTGGAGCATGAGCTGATCCTCGGCCAGGGGGGGACCCACATGATGTGGCAGACCTCTCCTGTCCCGTCTACTACTCCCTCAGCAGTATACTTCAGTAGATCTTTCTGTTCTGCTCCCCACTCTGTCTCTGGTTAATCCACTCACCTCCTACACCTCTGGCCTTTACCCCAGTTCTTGTACGTATAAATATATAAATCTTTAATAATAAAAAAAAAAATTGTGTTTTCAAATGCCTGTCCAGTTCCAATAATCCTCCTATCTCCACTCATCAGAAGCAGTCTCCATGCTGCACTGAGATCTTATTAATATAGAGTAGGACTGTTTTTTTGTTACCTTTGTTATCACCACTTTTCTGGTTGTTGCTTATTTTAAAATTTTGAACTTTACGTAATTGCCCCTGATAAGCCATCTTGGAATTTTTATTAGGAATGCACAAAACAGGTGCAGAGATATGGAGAACCAGAATCTCTGTAATGAACAAACTGGGTTTGTCTGTTACAGCAAACTCCGGGTCTTTGGAGATCTAGCAGGTCATCTCCCCATAGATTTGGCATTTGTACATTATGCTTCTCCCTACATACTTTCTCCACATGCAAGCCCTTGGGGCACTTTCCCAGGGTGTATACTTTGAAGCACTCTCTGGAGTGGTCTGGCAGGTTCTCCCAGATTTCCCAGGACTGGCTATTGCATGCTGGCCCCTCAAGGAACATACGGGCCACAGTGAGGACAGCAACACTGGGGCGTGCCCTCTAGCAGGGTGCAGGCCCGTGGACTGACTCAGACCTATTTACCATCTGATGGCAGGTTCCCAGCAATGTATGGACCTTGACTAGATCCTAAATGGATGGGGGAAGGAGCAGACTTAAGATATTTTGGGGATAATTGGGAAAATGTGGATGTGGAATCACTTTCAGATGAAGCTAAATTATAAATTTTCTTAGATTTGTAATGGCATTATAGATGTCAGACAGTGTCCTTCTTCTTAGAGGCACAAAGTATTTTAAGATGAACTGTTATATCTGCAACTTACCCTGAAAAGAAAATGGGAAAATATCCATAATTGATTAATCTAGGTGAGGGGCATAGGTGTTCAAGGTACCCATCTTCCAATTTTTCTGAAGGATCTTTCTCAAAAAAAGAATTAATGAGAATTAAAAAAGGCCAAAGAAAAATATTTCCAGTCCTCCTCTGTGTTGTTTTAACCCAACAGTACATGTTTAATTCTTTATCATATTATCACTGCTTTTCTGTTAACTCTGAAATAACATCAAAAATAAAAACTTAAAAGGGGGAAAAAGTTTAAATGTCCAAATCTTACACCATTAGACCTGCCAATATCAAAAAGCTGAAAAAAACAAGTGTTGGGAAGGATGGAGAAGAACTGAATGGGAATGAAAAATAATAGAAAACTATAGAAAACAGTATGATAGTTCCTTAAAAAAACTGAAGAGTTACCCAATGATTCAGCAATCCCACTTCCAGGTATTTACCCCAAAGAACTAAAAGTAGGATCTTGACAATACATTTGTACACCCACACACTTTGCAGCAATATTCCCGACAGCCAAGATGTAGAATCAACCATTGTCTATTGGTGCATGCATGAACAGATACTCAAAATACGGCACATTCATTCAGTTCAGTCTTAAAAAGGAAATTCGTTACAAAAGAAAAAATGTTATATGCTTCCACTTATACTGGGGTCCCTGAGGTAGTCACATTCATGGAATAGAAAATAGGATGGTAGATATGCAGGCCTGGAAAAGGAGGAAATGGGGTGTTAATTAATGGGTTCAAAGTTCTGTAAGAGAAAAAGCTGCAAGGGATTGGATGTACAATAATGTGACTATACTTAATTATCCACTTAGAAATGGTTAAGATGATAAACTTTACATGTTTTCTTTTTAAATAATAGTTTATTTTTACATAATTTAGTGCCTTTTTCCATCTCCGTTGTAATCCCTGTGGGTTTCCCATCATCAAATCACCCGTGTGCCATGACCAAAGTCCAGTGCACTTCTCCCCTCCCCCCCATTTTTGATCCCATTCCCGACTCTATCCCTGTAAAATGTCTCTGGTATATAGTTGTTCATTATTAGTATTATTTCCCGCCTTGGTCCTTTATACTCCTGCTATAAGTGAAACCATCCAGTATTTTACTTTCTTTCTGGCTTATTTCACCAAGCATGATCCCTTTCAACTCCATCCATGCTGCTGCAAAAAGCATGAGTTTGTCTTTTTTGGTTGCTGAGTAATATTCCATTGTGTATATGTACCACATGATGTGTTTTTCTCTCTCTTTTCACACACACACACACACAGTTCACCAGGCAGTAGGGGACTGACCAAATAAGCAGAAGGCACAGGATAACACAGAACACTCCACAGTTGAGTCACTTCTACTGCCAGATTTTATCATACCTGGGATGGCTCAAGATGCCAATGAACTGGCCCAGATTTAAAGTATGTGTGTTGAGAGGAGGGGAGAGCATCCTCTGTTACCGTGGTTCAGACCCCTAACATCTCATCCAAACTTTTTTTTTTAATTTTTATTGTATTAGTTTATTTTTACATATTTTTGTGCATTTTTCCATCTCAGTTGCAATCTCATCCAAACTTTTAAGCGAAGCATGTTTCAAAATTTAGGTTTCAACTCAGGAAATATGTACACACCATATATGATGTCACATTCATTTGGCACATTTGGGCTATGTACTTTTATGAGTGTATAACTTTCTCTTGAGAGTGAGGCTCTATTAATTTATATTTTCTTAAAACATCCATTTTATACAAATTTTCAAAATCACAGACACTAAATTAAGCTGTCTAATAATTCACAGATGTTAAAATTAAGGGAGGAATGAGATGACATGTCACTGTACCATGTCACTCAGCTCTGGCTTGTCATCCCACATGACATCCAGAAAAGTAGACATCCACTGCAGCATCAAGGCTGCTGGCCACCCACCTAGAGCTTGCTTTCTACTCTTGCCCACATCAGACATTACAAATCCTTGACGTTTTCACCAGTCTTCTGGTCCTTTACCATTTTTTCTAAATCAAATAAGTGAAAAAAACAACATGCTAATGTGTGGAGTATTATAGCTTATGTATCTATCTGAGATAAGTCTAGGTTCTCCCAATGTTACTCTCACACACACCCCTTCCCATTCCTAATGGAAAAGGGGGTATCAACATGCATGGTGACCATTCTGAAAGGAGGCCCCCTCCTATGAGAGGCCTTCCTGAGGGCAGCTGTGCAAACAGCAAGGAATCACTCTTGGAGGAGGTGGAAATAGAGAGGTTTTTGATCAGTTTAGGAAAAGGTGGTGTCTGTATCTTTGAGAAGAGTGATATGGCCATGACAGTCCAGATCACCAGCACATGGGGAACTCCTGAGCTTGAAGGGCTGCAAGGGTGTGTCAAGGAGTTCACTTTCATTCCATAGAGGCCCACCAGCCTCTCCCACACAGGCCCTGAGCTGTTTAACTCCGGAACACAGGGCTAGGACTTCTAGGCTCAGGTACTCCCTGCAGTAGTTCTTGGAAACTCAACTCTAACCTCTGTCCTGTGTGTTATTCAGAGCTATGTAACAGCTTCAGCTGAATCCACAATGAACTAATGGAATACTGCTATCCCTGGACATGTCTGTCCCAAGGAACCACTGGGTCACATTCTCCAAAAATTTCTTCTGGACAGCAGGGGGTATTTAAACCATAAAGGACCATCTTGTTTGATAGCACTTAAAAGCAAAAAATGAGAACCACAAGCAAGAACTGAAGATAAAATAATCAATGCTGGAATCCCACTCCTAGGTATCTACCCAAAAGACACAAAAACACTGATTGAAAAAGATACTTGTACCCCCATGTTTATTGCTGCTTTATTTACAATTGGAAAAACATGGAAGCAGCCCAAATGCCCCAAAGTAGATGACTGGATTAGAAAGATGTGGTACATATATACAATGGAATATTACTCAGCAACCAAAAAAGAGAAACACATGTCTTTTGCAGCAACTTGGATGGAGCTGGAAAAGATCATGCTTAGTGAGATAAGCCAGAAAGAGAAAGAAAAATACCGGATGGTTTCACTCATAGCAGGAGTATAATGGACCAGGCGAGAAAATAACAAAAATAATGAACAACCATAGACCAGAGACATTCTGTGGGGGTGGAGTGGGGAATGGGATCAAAAAGAGGGGGGAGGGGGGAGGGAGGGAAATGCACGGGACTATGGTGGTGGCACAGGGGTGATTTGGTGATGGGAAACCCGCGGGTTACAATCAAGATGGAAAAAAAAAAAATGTGCAAAATGATGTAAAAATAAACTTTGTAATAATAAAAAAAAAATAATCAATGCTGGAAAGGACTATGTCTTTGTGTCCCATGAAGCCCCCACTGGTGGTCAAGGTAGATTTCACTCCTCCTGAATTGGATCTCATCTGTATGAAGTGAAAAGGTAGTGCCAATTCTTCCTAGTGTGCCAAGGGCTGGAATGGAATCATGCGGGAGGCTGTGAGGCGCCTGGAACCCAAGGAAGATCAGTTCTAAGACCTCAGGAATGAGAAGGCTTGAGCCAAACAGGTAACAGACAGGAAGGGGGCACAAAGGCTGGGTGAATGATACATATGCAGAACTTATGAACCAGCCTCACCTCCCATACCCATACCAGAGGTCCTGAGAAGTGACCAGAGCTCATGTGGGCATCTAGCTGGCATTACAAGAACACGTGGGGTGGGGGAGTTGCCACTGCAAGACTAAGGTAAAAAGTGTCATAGTGTCTTAAAAAACATGTATACATAAGAGGAAAAGCAAATATGACAAAATGTCAACAACTAGTATTCAGGTATAATGTTATTCTCTTCCATAGAGAGAACATGCCCTAGACACAAAAAGACCAAAAAACAAACAAACAAACAAAAAAACCCAAACTCTTTGTGGCTCTCTGTTGAGTGATCCCAAGAAGCCAGCGAGGAGCTCTGTGTGGGGAAGCTGGGAGTTTCTGACAGACCCCTCCAGCGCTGTCTGTACCAGGGATGAGTAACTCACCTGAAGTAATCACAGGACGCAGCTAGCAGGATGCGGTGGGCCTCAATGTGTCTCCCCTCCACCACCAGCACGACGTCAAAAAGGATGCCGCTGTCCCGGAGAGCCAGCAGTCCCCGGAGCAAGGCCTGGGAGTGCTGCGTGCTCCGGTAGGTGTTGTTGACACAGTGCGGATGTGAGGGCTGCACCGGCGCCTTGCACAGCTGGGTAAACTCCTGCTCCTCAGCCATCCTGACCACCACACCAGCCCTCACCACTGAGGCCGTCAGCTGGCAAGACAGAGGGGACAGCAAATGAAGAAGGGTAGCAGTACCATGAAGTGCCAGCCCTGTTTCCTGGAGGACCTGTGGCTCACTGCTTGTGCTCCTCCCTCCAGTTCACCTGTGCGTTTCCTGTTGTCTCTTCTGCCCTCCCATTGCTTATCCAAAGTTGCCTTCTTCATGATGACTAGTGTTCCTTCATCAACAAGATTCTCCATCCCCTATTAACTCCTTCAGCTTGCTGCGAAACAAACGGGCCCTGAAGACACACCAACCTTGACTGGAGCTCCTATCCCACCATGCATTCCTGTATCACCAACCTGCATCTCAGGGTCCTCGAGTGAAGAAAAAGGGAAACAAAAGCAGCCAGTGTGATGGGGGAATCTAAAATTGGTCACCAATGAACATAAAGCACCAGCACAGACCAGCTTTTCAAGAGCCCTCCTCTCTGAGAAAGAACTGGGTTCCCTACAGGAATGGATAAAAAATTATTAAGGCCTCACTGAGCAGTGTACAGGAGACCCAACACTGTAAGGAAGAGCGGACGTGGTTCCAGGACCTGCCTCCCTTTACTGCCACAGTAATTTTAAGGTTTGAGTCAGTGGAGGTCACCTGCATTGTGTTTTACATTCAAGCTAAAATAAATACATGCATACACAAATAAATAAATATGATGTTACCTTCTAATAATTGAGTCAGTAAATTAAGAAAAAATGCACAACAGGGCCTCCTTGGTGGCACAAGGGGTTAGTCTCAGCACTATCAAGGCAGCCACTGAAGTACCAGTTCAGGGAATTGACCCACACAGCACAATCTTGCCCACTGCTCCCCTCGGCAGTGTATTTTAGTAGATGCACATGTTCTGCTCCCCACTCCGTCTCTGGTGAATCCTTTTACTTTCCCGCTCCAGCACCTCTATACCCCAGCTCTTGTGTGCATAAATAAATCTTTTTTTAAAAAAACACACACTGGGCCCTCCCTGTTGGCGCAGCGGGTAAATGCAGCACTAAGAAGCTAAAGCCACTTCAGTACAAGTTTGATCCCTGGCCCCAGAGGTGACCCACATGGTGCAGCAGACCTCTTCTGACCCATCCACTGCTCCCCTCAGCAGTGTACTTCATCAGTCAGCATTTTTACTTCCCACTCTGTCTCCATGAAGCCTCTCACCACCCCTGTACCTCTGTCCTGTACCCCAGTTCTGTACGCATAAATAAATCTTTAAAAAAAAAACACACATTAATTTGAGTAGGAGCTTCAGAAACCCTAGCAGTAAGCCAAATTTATGCAAACACTATGACCACAAGCTACATCCCACTAGAAGTGACCATGGGCAGCTGCTATGGGGTCAGAGTGGTCAGGACTGCACTGCCAGCCAGCCAGCATGTGGAGCTAGAAGTTAAGTGCCTTCCCTACTGCAGTTACTCCAGCATTCACTTCCTCAAGTGTGTGGCTCTTCCAATTTCCTACCATAGCTTTTAGTGAGAAAATGGAAAATAGATTCTACTACAAATCAGTCAAAAAGGACTCCCTTCTCACTACCACTTCCTTTGCTTCCTCCTCTCCAGGGCCCTGCTTGCCCTGGACAATCCAATGTTTATTATCAAGCATGTGTTTCTTTTAAAGATTTATTTATTTATGCATACAGAACTGGGGTGCAGGCCAGAGGTGCAGGGGTGGTGAGAGGATTCACCAGAGATGGAGTAGGGAGCAGAACAGGAGATTGATGAAGTATACTACAGAGGGGAGAAGAGGTCTGCTGCACCATGTGGATGACCTCCAGGGCTGGGGATCAAACTCAAGCCACTGCAGCTAGCTTGTAGTGCTGTGCTTTAACCTGTTGCACCACTAGGAAAAGACACTATCAAACATGTTTAACTCTCCTCTTCAGTCTGCTTTCTGGCCTTAGGACCTCCAGCCCCGTCCCCAACTGCCTATCTATTACTCCCTAACCTGAACTGGCTCCTGCTTTCCTACTAAGGCTACAAGCTAAGGCACATCTCCCTGCCCCTTGCCTGTAAACTGTGCGCCAAGACAATGACCCCTTTTTTGACACAGCTTGCCCTAGGTCACCCATTTCCCATGAAACAACCTCAAACACAATTAAGGAACTAAATTCAGTGCTAAGGGATGTGAAGAAAAGTGAACTGCTTTCCTGCTCTGAAGGAGCTCCTAGTGTATGTAACTCATTCAAGACCACCTATCACAAGCCCTCCCTGGCAGCACAGAGGTTAAAGTCTCAGCCATATCAAGCTATTACCAGCCACTTCAGCATGAGTTCTATCCCCTGCCAGGGAGCTAACTGTCTTGCCTACTGCCTCCCTCAGCATTTCAGTAGCTCAATCTGTCCTGCTTCCTACTCTGTGGTGAATCCTCTCACTCCCCCATCCCAGTTCTTATATGCATAAATAAATAAAATAAATCTTAAGGAGAAAAAACACATCACAGCCTTATTCGTACAGCAAGCATTAGCTATGTAGCTCAAATGTCTCTCCTTGGGAATGGTGTCACAGCATTATAACTCAACAGAACACCAGACAACACCAGCAAACTAGAATTTAACTAGTTAGCAACTTGTGGAGCTCTCATAATCCACACAGTAGAATTTCATTTACAAAAAGTACAGACACACAAAACAATACTGCATAATATTGCTTATACATAGGTGTTATGGCATAAAATAACAGATACATACTATAGGAATTCAGTGTCGTGATTATTTTCTGGAAGGAAAATGAGAATGCTTATTTGTTAAAAAGAAATTAAGAAAAAAAGACAAAACTTTAGGATCTCTAGAGATGGTACTCTATTATCTGTGCTTTTTTATTAGTGTGGAATATTTAATAAATTCTCAAACTTACTTCTGAATATGTAATACAGTCACAGGATTCAAATTTAAAAGGTATATTATGGATTAAATTTCCCTCTCATCTGTGTCCTAAACAGATCTTCTCTCAGAGAAAACTATTCTATTCCCCTGCCCCTACCTCTCTACACCCTTCCAGATGGCATCTATGGATTCACAGGCAAATCTGTACATCTACAACATTTCTCTCCTTTGATTAGCTTTTGCAAGACAACTTAAAATCCTTCCCACAGTCCACTGTTTGGATAACCACATTTTTATTTAATCATTACTTTTCAGGGACATCTGGGTTTCCTCCATATTTCACATTGCAAACAGTTTTGTACTGAAAATCATTTTGATGTGCTATATATGCAGCAGCTATGAGTAAAATGTATGATACAGAATTGCTGGATCATGTTAATTTTAATGTGCATTTTCCACTTTAGTGGATTTGCCAAATTGCTGTCCACAGAAATTTTCCCAATCAATCTTCTACCAGAAAAGTATGTGAATGTTAATTCCAATCACTGACTAGCTCACCAAGTGTTTTTTAATCGCTGCTGACTTAACAGATGAAAAACAGCATCTCACAGTGTAGTCATATTTTTGTAATTGACAATATTTCAAAAAATAGAAAATCAGGTAGAATGTGGCACACCCTTTGTGTTTCTTACCCATGGCTGTCTTTCTGAAATAAAAGATGTTCTCACTCAGTGGCACCCTCATCCGATTAATTTTACTGGGGTTACTCTATCCTGAAGTTCCTTCCAACATCAAGTTCCATCAGGTCTCATAATGTTCCTCATTCTATTTATCAAAAGCAAGGCCACTCCATTCTTAGCTGATTAGAGCTTTCTATAAAGGGGAGCTGGAAGGAAGCTTTATGTACCAAGAAGGTAGAAATGGAACAACATAAAATTAATTTTTGTAAATTCATGGATGACAATGTCAAAAGCATCTTAGGATTTTAACATCAACACCATTTACTGAGTAGATCCTCAGCTCGCCATAGGCCCCCAAGCAGAATCTGTCCACTATGAACCTCAATTCTCCACGAAGCAAAGTATGCAACAAATACTAAGTGCAGGGCTAGGGTGCTAATTTCCAGAAGGGGGAGCCTTCACAGGGGTGCTGATTCAAACGAGCTCTGGTATAAGGCTCCCAGAAGAGTTGGAGCATCTTCGCGCGCCAAACCTGAGGCTCACGTCTGGCCGACGCCGCGAATCGGCCCCAGGGCAGAAAATACGGGCGGCGCCGCCACTCCGGCTGGCCCACGATTAGAAAAAGTCTGAATGGGCAGCCTTCGCGACCCCAAAGGTTTTGCACTGACAGCGTTAAGTCCGGCTTTTTTCAGGAAACCGGGTAAGCGAGAGAGACTGGGATCCTTCGGCTGCAGCCCTCGGCCTTGGTGCACCACTGATAAACTGAGGCTTGGCCGGCCGAAGTCCAAGGTCATCAGGTGGCAGCCAGGTCCTAACCCGCCCGCCTGTTGCAGGATCATACGCCCTCCCCCGCCCCCCAACACATACAGCGCAAGGCGGAGGGTCTCTCCCCGGAAGGCCGCGCTCGGTGACCCGCCTCAGGCGAAGAGCAGGTGAGGCCCCTCAGGCGCGCGGAAACCCCGGATCTCGAGAGCGTCAGCTCCGGCCCGGCTACACCCGGGGGTCTAGCCCGCCGCGCCCCAGCCACGTCAGGCCGCAAGCTCGACTCAAGCCACCGCCCCCGCGCCTCCGGCCCGCTTCCACGCCCCCCGCGCGGCTCGCCCCCACTGGCGAGCGGTCGACTTCCACCGCAAGCCGCCAGCGCTCTCAGCCAACCCGCCCACCCCGCCCGCGCCTCGCAGCTCACCTGGCGCCGCCGCAAGCCGAGGCCGCTCTCGCTGGAGGCGGGGGCGGGGCCTTGGGCGTGTCACGTGGTCACACTGCGCAGGCGCGCGCGGGCGTGGACGGAGGCCCGGGGGCGCCGGCCAGGGGGCGCCACATTGTGGGCCGCCGGGAGGGGCGCCACCTGCAGCCGTCCTGCTGTCGGAGCAGCTCTTGTAGATGTTTTTGCGGAGTGCGATGCATCTCCCAACCAGGCACACTCCTGGAGGAGCTGAACGAATGAAGGAGTGAATAATAGAAGGAATAAATTTTGGAGAAGGTAGCATCCTGTAAATCCACTTCCTACTTCCCTAAGTCCTTCTTAACCGTGTCATCCCCTCCCACATTCACTCATTCTCTTCCTCCCTTCCCACTGATGCATTCACATATTCCTTCCAGCCCTGCTTTCTTTCTTTTAAAGATTATTTATTTATGCATACAGAAATGGGGTACCGAGGTGCTGGAACCGTGAGAGGATTCATCAGAGACAGCGTGGAGAGCAGAACAGGCAGATCAACGAAGTACACAGCTGAGGGGAGCAGCGGGCAGGGCAGAAGAGGTCTGCCACGCCATGTGGGCTACCACCCTGGCCTGGGATCGAACTTGCTCCTTGCTGAAGTGCGGTGCTTTAACCTGTTGTGCCACCAGGGGGACCCCATGCCTGCTTTTTTCCTTACTCCCTCCTTTCCTCCCTCCTTACTCCCTCTGTCACTCTTGCCGTTCTGCCCGCCTCACTTCTTCCGTCTCAGAGTCTCAGACTACTGGGTGAGAAGTGAGAAAGGAGTGAAGAGATCACTTTTCTGTGTTAGATTTCTGACCCTGTCCCATCCAAGCCAAACAGCGGTACCACTTCATTTCTTCTTTCATTGCTTTTACTCATTCCCTCCCTCTTATATCCTCCCATCGCTCATTTCCTCCTACCTTTTAGACCCAAAAGTCTAGTCTGCCTCTGCTGGATGTTGGGGGAAATTGGTAAACACAGTCAGGGCAAACAGGTGTCTGTTTTCCTGTTTACTCAAAGCCCTATTCCCAGCCCAAAGTCTTGGTTTCAGCAATCCAGAAGTAAGTTCTATGTATTCATTTTTCTCCACTCCATCTCCAAAAGGATTCCGCCCTCTGAGACTCATCTCTAAAAGTGCACCCAGAGGTTAGGGCCAGTGGGGCCTCCTAGTGATAGGAGTCAGGATGTCCTGTTGTTCTGTGTGTGTGTGTGTGTGTGTGTGTGTGTGTGTGTGTGTGTGTGTGAAGACTTATTTTCTTCTATTTACACATACAAAAACAGGGGTATGGGCCAGAGATGTGGGGTGACTGGTGATAGTGAGAGGATTCGCCAGAGACAGAGTGGGGAGCAGAACAGGCGGATTGTCTGAAATACACTGCTGAGAGGAGCAGCAGGCGAGACAGGAGAAGTCTGCTGTACCATTGGGTCACCTCCCTGTCCAGGAATCAAACTCATGTTACAGTGGCTGTGCATTGCTTCAGAGTGCTGCACTTTAACCCATTGTGGCACCAGGGAGGGCCCCTGTCTTTTTCTTTGGAAAGGAAATATGAATCTTGTCAAAAGCAAGATGGAAGGGAATATAAAAGAGGAAGAAAAAAAGAAAAGCACTCTATTAGCTGAGCCCTGAGTGTTGTTTGAGAATCCAGACAAGGGCCAGAAGAGTAGTGTCAAACTTTCCCAATGGAAGTAAGATTCCAGGAAGACTTTCTGGAGAAAGTGATCACACCCAGATGCGGACTCTTCAGGAACAGGAAAAGCATTCCAGGAAAGAGATAGTGTCAGCAAAAGCATGGAAGCAAGATCCAACAAAGTGAGTGGCCAGGAGGCTTCCAGGAGGTTTTTTTTTTTTGTTTGTTTGTTTTTAAAGATTTATTTATTTACGCTTACAAAACTGGGATACAGGCCAGAGGTGTGATGGGTGAGAGGATTCACCAGAGACAGAGAGGGGAACAGAACAGGCGCATTGACAAAGTACAGTGATGAGGAGAGCAGCCAGCGGGGTGAGGAGAGGTCTGTCACGCCATGTGGGTCGGCTTCCTGGCTAGGGGTTGAACTCATGCAGCAGTGGCTTCTGAGAGCTTCATAATGCAGTGCTTTAACCTGTTATGCCACCAGGGAAAGCCCGCTTCCACGAGTTTTTAAGCCTAAAGGGAATATTGGAAGCTAGACTGTTCTCTGGAGGCTGAACATGGCAGTAAGGGCAGATTTCAGATAGGGCAGGCAGATGCCAATATGCATTGCAGAGGCTGGACTGGAGAGCAGGAGGGGACTGAGCAAGGCAGCAGCCAGACTGTGTTCTAGGGAGGTCTAAGAGAAAACTGAATGTAGTGTTGGCTGGAAATCTGGAAATGTGGCAAGTATGAGTGAGTGGGTGAGGAGGGGTGAGCACAAGAAATGATGGGGTAGATAATGTGACCACCTTGGTCACAAAGATGCTGGGGCAAGAACAGATTTGAAGGAAGATAAGACCTGCCTTAACTCTAAACAGGCTGAGGAAGCTGCAGATAACGAACGGCCTTTCTGGGTAAGACAGGCTACAGATGAGGAAGTGATAAAATGAGCCAGAACAAGAATGGGGTAAAGATGAGAGGGCTGAAAGAGCACCAGGCACATTGATGTTTCCAGGGGCACCCAGAGAGCGGGAACTCACAGAGGGGACAGGGAAGAGTAATCTCAAAGGTCAAATGGGACCTGGTATAAGTGGTGACCCCCAAAGGGGAGAGGAGGCAAATCTGAATATGCCACAGGGAGGCCTCTGGTGTACTTGTAGAAGCCCTTTCCTTGGAGTGATGAAGCTAGCCTGTAGTGATTGAGGTATAAAGGAGGTGAGGACAGGGAGACTGCAGGAATGTGTCTGGCCTCAGAGATGAAGACAGATGAAAGAGAGCTGGAGAGACTAAAGGAGAGCATTTCAGGGTAGGAGGAAGGAGTTGGTGTGAAAAGAATGAGTAGGGGCAAGAGACCAGGAACAAAGGGTAAGGGACCATGTGGAGAGGCATTTTCCCATCTTTGAGCTAGAAAAACTATCTCAAAATATACCCCAGATGAAGTCGGTGGTTTCCGCCACTAGAAAGTTCTTGAAAAGTGCAAGATAGGAGAAGGCCTATCATGGATGTATTTGTTACCTGGAGACTCTCCATTTCCCAAGGACTCGAACTATATATGCCATTCACGGCTGTACCCTCAGTATCTAAAACAGGGGTAAAACTCAGTAGTATTCAAATCGAGGGCATTGACATAGAAAAAAATGAGAAGCAGAGATATTGGGTTTCAGTAAGTGGGATCCTTGGGTTTCTCTGACAATGATTTCATCAGAGTTCCTGTTCAGCAGCACAAAGCAATTTTATTATTAGGGAAAAATGAAACAAACAAGCAACATTTGCATGGCCACAAATGCAGTAGACTGCATTTTAAAAGGGCAGGTTTATTAGGAAAAAGGGATGCCTGCTTAGGCACTGACAGGCAGTCTTAGGGCAACAAGAATCTTTATATAGTGTTATTGGGAGGGGTTCATTTATTTGTGGAATTTTATTTATTGTGGAATCTATGACTTCTAAGGTTGGCTTGGGTTAACCTATCAGAACTGGTGCTCTTCTTTGTAATGATTGGCAATTTACCATCCCCCACTTCTAGTTTCTGCCCTTTAAGATCTTCCACAGGCATTTTAATGACATTGATAATTTCTACCCTACCTCTGTTTTCTGGCCTTGTGAAACTTCCACCTTAAATTTTATACTCTAAAAACTTCTAACAGTGACTTTGTTAAAGAACTGGTTTAAATAATGGAAGGCTTTTGAAGCTTCAACCCAGTGGAAGATATACAAAGAAACAGAGTTTTCAGGTAACATCTCATCTCCTAGAAAAAATAACCATGGGAAGGGTTAAGTCTCAGTGCCCAGTGACACCCCCACACCCACTCTCACCCCCCATAGCAGCTTGAGTTTGATCCCTGGGCAGGGGGCTGTCCCACCTGGCACAACAGACCTCTACTGTTTCACCTGCTGCTCCCCTCAGCAGTGTATTTCAGTAGATTTGCCTGTTCGCCTTCCCACTCTGTCTCTGGTGAATCTTCACACAGACACCTTCCTCCTCTGCATCTCTGGCCTCTACTCAGTTCTTCTATGCACAAATAAATAAATAAAATCTTAAACACACACAAACACGGGAGGCAGAACTAAGATGCCTGACTCATGTCACGAAGATGGACAACATTCAAAGTGAGGGATGCTCAGTTTGTTACAGTCCTGGACTTACATTTGAGTTACACCAGACTTGTGTTTTTCTATTTCTTTTTCATAAATACTTCCCAAAGTCCCATCCTTGGGGGAAACTGATATAAAAGCCTTGCCACAGTCTCCTGCCAGGTGACCTTGCATTTTAGCTGGTTCTTTTCTCAAAAGATGGTGACATGGTTTTTGGTTTCCTTGCCATTGAATTAAGTAGGCTCCCATTCAGCAGCAGCATCTAAAGAGGAGAGCAGTCTTGTAGGACTGGGCCCTTTACTTGTAGAACTGAATGTGTAGAGAGTGTCACAAATGAATTTGAATTCTCAAACCCCCTGTTGGTGCTTGGAGAATTGATTATGGGTGTGGGGAAGACTCCATACATACATTGGAATTGGGTCCAAGAACTCTTTCAGACAGTGATACATATTTGCAATATATATCAAACAAAAGCTAGTTATCTATAAAATATAAAGAAATAAGGAACTTCTAAAAATCAATTATTAGTTAACTAGGTAGGAAAACTATAGAGGAAACTTGCAGAAAAGAAAGTCCTAGTATATGTATACAAAGGAAGTAGAGTTCAATCTTATTAATAATCAGTAAATGCAAATGATATGCTTACATTTTCACACACTATGAAAATAAAACTTTACTCTGACACTTGTTTAAACAGTAAGAATGGGGCTAAGTTGAGAAGAGAGATTGGATTCTATCTTGAAATACAGCAGGGAAAAACAAACAAAAAAAGAATACAGCAGGGACATGGCCCTCCCTGGTTG